GTGAGAGTAGTTTGACTGACGGCCGCAACGGCACTGTTTTCTTTACATATAGTAAAAATAGCTGTTAAATAATTGTTTTCACTTTGTTATAATGTGATCCAGTCAAACGGTGGACGACGTTTCAATGTGTAGGACACCAGTACAGATTTGAAAATTTACAACAAAGTCCTGAAGATATCACAGAATATTACATAAAATGTGTTTAGACTGTGCCTTTATTGTGTTTTCTTGTTCCTATTCCCCTATAGCAGTTTCAGCAGCTCTGTAGAATAATTAGGTTTTAGTATTTTGCACCTTCTACCTATGTTGTGTCTACAAATGCGTACTCAATTGTAAGCACATTTTGTGCATACATTTTTTTAGATTTTTGTGGCCACTCTGGTGTGTGCAAATAAGTATTAGTAATGGGATTTCTTCCATGATGCTTACCTTGCAGAGATAGCTTTTCAAAAGCCTTTTAATGAGTTTCGATAGAAAACAAGGAATAAGAGATTGTAGGAGGTGAGACTGTTAATGGTCTTCTTTAACAAAAAAAAAATCTTAGACTTTGACCTCCTTCGCTGTTCTTTGATGAATAAGAGATGACCTCTGCTTTCTATGTGGACTAAACTCCTCTGGCCCTCAAACACTCATCTGGATTACAAACACAAATAATATCTTATTGATTTTGAAATGAACCATTATGGTCGACAAACACTGGAAAATCTAAAGCAGAAAGTCTATGTGTTCTTTCTCCACAGCTAAGGTTCAGTAGAGCAGATGCAGTATATGTGTAGCTGTAGGGATCCGGACTGATCCCTGCAAATCATTTGTGCTTTTATCTTTGAAAACAAGAACGTAAACAGGATTATGCTTTATCTGTCACATAGCTCTGCTTACTCCTATATGTTACTGTGTCCTTTACAGGAAAAAGAAAAGAGCTGTAAAAATGATGGTCACAATTGTCCTGCTATTCACCATCTGCTGGGCACCATTCCACACTGTCCACATGTTGTTCGAATACAGTAAGTATAGCTTATTTAACTTCTTATGCAATCTTTATATGTGAATAAGCATTTGTATTTAAGTTTCTATCAAGCAAAGGTAAAGGAGTTAATAACGGGTTGTGTCATCCTTGGCAACAATACCTTCCATAATATTGTTTGCAAAAAGCCGACAATGAGTCTCTGACATCTCTTTGGAGGAGATTTTATCCACTTATTTAGGGTTTTCAAGCCAGACCTGGCTTTGGTCAAAGCCTGTAATTAAATGTATGGTTTCGACTAAAAATCATTTTGGTTTTATTTTATGACATATTCATCTGCTTTGGATTTTTTTTTCCTGTCATATAACCAAGTATGTGGGCCTCCATATTGCTCAGCTGGGAAAAATAAATAATGTTTAAACAATTCTGGCCATTTGTGAAGGCTCAGAAACAGAAAAGGTGTCAGGTTAAGTGGAGGTTAGTTGAGGACCCAAATGCAGAGATGTGTCTCGCTGATTTAATTAATGGACAAATGGTAACAGAAGCATAAAGCCATAAACAATAAAGAGGAAACCCAAAAAACAAGAGACACAAGAGAGAAACACACATGAGGAGCAGTTAATGAAGAGCAACCAGCACTGATGGGAGACAGAACCATAAGTGGAGTAATCAGTTAATTGGGAGCAGGTGTGGACAGAAAAGAGCCAAGGGGAAAGGAAAAAAGGGCACCAGGGGGCAACAAAGATCAACCAGGGAAAACAGAGCTTAACTGTAACTAGAAAACAACTACAATAACATAAAACCCAGAAAAAACAGATTGACATAAATAAAAATGTAAATGTAAACTCAAATAGAAACTAAAACAACGAAAGAATCCACAATCGGTGGGATCAATGCAAATGGAGCCTAATAGACACACTATAAGCAACAAACGACAGCATCAGAAGGTTATCTTAGTTAAGTAACAAACGACAAAATCCATACATACAAGAGCAATGGTGGCAGTTCCGAACCACGCTGTCATGTCGCCTCAAAGAAATATTAGTGATAAAATAAGAGGGGTTTTGACAGCCTGTGATACACAAGGCAGTAAGAATGAAGAGTCTGTGGATTTCATTGATTGCTTGACTGGAGGAAAGCAAGCAATTCTCACCTCAACACACAGGTTCCATAGGAGAAATGTTTTTTTACATAAATGACCCCTGAATGCTGCCAGATGAGATGTTTTAACACTGTTCTTTGTTTACTTTGTTGACTATAGTTATGGCAATAAAGTTCTTTCAAAAGCAAATAAAAAGAAGGTTCACATTTTAAATTTTAGAGGAAATCACCTGATGTCTGTGGAGTCTATTTTATACCTATAACTAATTGAATACTTTTGGCTTATCTCATCCCCTAAAAGCTAATCCTTATCCTTAAATTTGTGGACAAGAAACCTTAAAATAAAGTTTGTGGATTTAATATGACTTATTAACTTCCACTTAGAGCTGAATTTAATATTGGGACAAATTTCAGATGTGCATTTATGGCACTGATCATAAAAATGCTGTTCATGGTAGTTTGGTACTCTTAAAATTTTCCGTTCTTGTTCCTGAATCAAGAACATTGTTCTTATTTGAAGCAAAGGACATCTGTAGTTTTATTATTCTGGAATCCTTTCTGATCCTCTCTACAAGTCTTTGTTTTGCTTTGTCTTTGCTTTATTGGCTGTTAACAGAACTTATTTTTTCTTATCCAAACTCAAGTTTGAGGTGAGCTAAAGAGACTGACTTCTGATACCTGATAATGCCTTCAATAATTACATTTTATTATATTTTTGTACGTAATTGTCTAGATGATCTGGAGAAGAAGTATGATGACGTCACCCTGAACATGATCATCGCCATTGTTCAGGCCATCGGGTTTTTCAACAGCTTCAACAATCCAATTGTATATGCCTTCATGAATGAAAACTTCAAAAAAAGCTGCGTCTCTACCCTCTCCCACTGCCTCCGTAAACCAAACCACCAGGGTGCCGCCACAGTGGCTCCGAGACGGAGTGTGCAGTTCATCAAACCCCAAAGCAGAGAAGCATTCGTGAACACAGATGAAGGCAAGAACGTGGAGCAGCACTCTGCAGAGAAAGGCGCTCTGTGCTCATCGCATGGAGAGAACTCTCTGGAAATTATTGGAGAGAAAATTTCCACCATCCAAACTGAGCTCCCTCCAAATAGTTCCTCTCAAGTCAAATAAGACATTCAGGTGCTTTCGCTCAGCAAATCTCTTGTTGGCCATCAACTGCTGTCTGAATATAACAGCAGTTCCAAGACTCAACTACTGGAAAAGGCTCAAAGCTCTGCTGCATTACTTGTAGTGGCAGCCGCCAGAGCAAAAGTGATTAAAGCGCTCAGGAGAAGGATTTTATTAAATAAAAAGGAATTTCACTGTAAATAGATGAAGTAACAGAAACAATGTTGAGACATGAGAACAAGAGTTCATGATCGAGACTGAGAACTCATGTGCTTTAAACAATGTTTTTTTTTGTCATAATGGGATCATAACGTAAGCAATGATCTCTGAGCATTTAATGCTGTTTCATCATGATTGAACCTTTACTTCAGTACTTTGGTTTTCTGCCATATTAGCAACAATTTAGAGATGCTGACAAAGACAATTTACAAGACAAGCTTTAAGCACCAAACACAGGCTGCTATTTTGCTTTACTGATTTTTGCTTTTGGTTTACCTAAATCAACTCATTACACTTCATGCTAATCAAGCACTTTTTTGCTGGCATGAAACTACTGTTTACAACGATTTCATGACGTGGCTTAAATGTATTTACCTTATTAACTGAATGTAACTGTAATTTTTTTTTTTACACACAGGACTAAAACTCAGATTTTAAAGGCCATGCTCAATGCAGTAAAGTTTGAATTCATATGCAGGGTTTGTAGCAAACACAATGGGTAGAGCAGCAACCTGCAGAAGGTAGTAAGAAAACATGTCTGAGGGATTATCACCCTCTTTTGGCGTAAAGGTTTGCATTTATAAGCACATATGACTATAAATGTATCCCACATGTATCTCTACACGATTAAATAAAAGGTTGTCCTAGTTTAGTAATAAATGTCAAAAAAAACATATATGGTACTGATTATTTACACACAAACTAATTTAGATGATTAAAGTTTTGCTTGTACTTCAGTTTCCCAATTCAAAATTCAAACTCTTAAAATTTAGCCTATTAATAGGGATATCTATCCACTGTACAGTTATTTTTTTACTATCCAACACTTGTTTGTGGTTTCTTATAGCAGGACTTACTGAATCAATGTTGCTTTCCATAGAGGTAATCAAGGTGTGGCTCAGCTGAAGCACACTTAACCCTCTTCAGTTAGTCTGCTTTGAGTCTGGTGTCACATCTTCTGCACTTGATACATCTTCTATGGATTTTTAACAAACTAATTTGTTTATTCCTAATTAAGCACAGCTTTATATAGGTCATTCAGGCAGTTTAGGTGCTTATGGCTGTGTTGACAAATGGCAACTTCTGTTGGGAAATCAAACATTTTAAAATTTCTTTAAAAGAGTACAGTTGCACTGACTTTGTAGTTGATAAAACTATCCTTTTTTCTACCACTTCTATGCCTGTGTAAGGCACTGTGAGCAGCATGCTACTTAAGCAATGACCTTTTTTAAAGCTAATTTTACTTACTGAGGATGCCACTAAGTGTCTGGACTCTTAATGATGATGTACTCCATAACATGACAATATACAACTTTTGACTATGAAAATTCCACTTTAATGGTCATATTTAATTATTTTTTATTTTATAAAGCAAAAAAAAAAAAAACACCTTAGCAGCAATTAAAACCAAACATCTGACATATTTGTATTTAACCTTTTTTTTTTTTTTTTTATAATAATCTAATTAAGAGGCAACCAATTTTTTTAGCCTGTGATCCCAAAAAAATGACAATGCAACAAACTGGTGACCTTCTAAAATCCATATAGATACTTAAATAAATATTATATACATAAATATTAAGTGAAGAAATTATAATTATTTTAAATAGATTGTTTTAAGTGGCAGACATTTCCTGAATTTAAATATATATTTTTATTTTTTAATGGGGCATTTTATAATTTAATGGTATATTTAATTTATTAAATATACTAGATAAATACATTTTACATCTATTTATTTCATGGTTAATTATTCCATGGAGCATTTATTTTTCTGTATTTCACTAACTTCTTTTAACCCTCATACACCTCACAATGACCCCACTGTAGTAACCCACAAGCTAATTAATTGAGTTGAAGCCTGCATACTGTGAAAAAGGCTATCATTCGAACTTAAAAAATAATAATAAAATAAATGAATGAAAAGTATCTGTATGCTCAACAGTTATCACCATGAGGATAATAACAGCCTTTAGCAGCGTGGACCAATTTCAAGTGCTTTTAAGGAATGCATAATGAGAGTGACTGGTCTTTACCATTTGATTTCTCATCTGGGGGGGTTTAGTGATGGGGCCATTTTCTATTATGGGTTAGGTCACTTAAGAGTTGTATTGCATAAATATAGATCTTTAAAATGTCATCAGTCATTTCTACCCTTTGCGAAAAGTGTTCTTCAAAAATGGCAATGCCTTTCTACAAAGCAAATGGTGCAGTAATCTGCAGTAAACTTTTATATAAATGCTTTCAATATATGTAGATGGGCTTATCATTGAGATTTTACACAAAACTACCTTAGATAATCCTTTTTTGAAAATTCATACTTCAGCCATTTCAAAATCTGTCCTTGTGATTTTCTAAATGCTAAGCGGCACTCAAGGTACACTAATGGCCGTATATCTCTTGTTCTGCTTTATTAAGTAATCCAAAATTAAATGTTAATCAAATGTTAATGTCAATTAACATTTGAGTTCCTAATTTAAAACATATCCTTCAGTACTTTGCTGCAGACCCATTGCGTTGCTGATTTTCATTTTAACTTTTATTTACACATTTAAAAAGTATTCACACCCCACCTATTTAATTCTTTAATATAACAACAAATGTTAGTGTATTTTTTAGGGTTTTATGCAACAGACCAATATGAAGGAATGGCAATTGTAGAGTTCAAAAAAATAATAATATGGCATGCATTTTTAGGTAGCATGCCATGGGTTTATACTTTGTAAATTGTTTTACAGCAGTTATAGTTGCAAGTTTCTCTAATCTCCATCCTCCCATTAAGGCTGACCAGCATTCCTGTCCTTTTGGTTTTATCTGACTTCTTTCTTTTCCACAAGTTGATGTTTTTATGAGCAATTTTTGAGTATAAGATCAGTGGAGTTTGCAACCATATGTATTTTTTGACAAGAGTTTGAGGGTTATAAGAAGTCTGGGTGCTCTGTCTTCTATTTCAGGGTAAACGAATGGGGAGCTTTAAAATAAATGAAGAGCAGACTTTTCAGATATTTGTAAAAATATTGTACTAACTTGTAAGCTGATTCTTATTAGCTTTATCCTTTTCAACTAGAACATTCATCAATGCACTGAGGCCCTATACCTTGACAGCCCCCCTCTTCTTGTCTGTTAACATTTTATCACTCTAAATAATAAAATAAAATACATTTGACTTGTTAGATAACTAGGCTTCCATTGGAATCTGAATATATACAATAAAATAAAAGCTGCTTTGTATAATGTGTTAAAACAAATTATAGCCTAGATTTATGTTGAGATGATATTTTGGCTTGATCTGGTAATTATATCTTGTAATGACAGCTTGGTTTTAATTCACAGTTTTGGACAAGGTTAAAGTCACAATAATTTAAATCAATCAGGCTTGTACTATTATTTTTTTTGCCACTCTCCTTATTTTAATTCTTTATTTATTGATGCATTTTCTTTTTTTGGGGTGGGGGGGGAATTAATAGGACCCGTCTTTGCTTGGTGCCCAGATATTATCCCACACCTTACCACAAGTGTCATAAGTCATAATCTTGATTGTTCTGAGTTTTACAATAAAATACCTTTCTTGCATCTCATTTGATCATGCTGGCATCTTTTTTGTAACAACTGTTTTTAAATATTACCATTACAAATATGTGAATGTATGAGGTACTAGTGTGAATTTATCATTAGACATTAAAAAGGCAGGGACGTAATGACAGTAAAATAGAACAAGACAAAATTAACAACAGAGTACAAGAATGATAAAAGCATTTAAAACATCCATTTAAATATCAGAAGAAAATAGGACCTCCTACAACAGCCTGTGTTTTTCTAACAATTTAACATATTGATATTTAAAGTAATAACAATATTCATATATAAAAAAAACATTCCAGCTTTTATTTACACTTACTATGGCAAAACTAGATAACTAGAAGATTGATTAACATTCAGAATCAAAAATGCAGATTGTCGTTAGCGTAACTTGGCTGTATATGTCTTTAACTGACCAATCAGAGGACAGAAAATTGTGATGTTTTGGTAGGCCCCCTAGCTGGTCCCATGCAGGGAATCTGATTGGTTGAAGGAAATGTTCCTCATATTGTTAGGGTAACAGCAGCCAGCACTGCTGGTTCTGAAGGCTCTGGGGATATTTGAGCGACATAGCTGAAATTGGATTGGACAAAATATATGCCAACCACATAAACGCATTACAGCAAAGAGAAACGCTACAAAATTAAAAGAATATGTTGTTTGGAATAAATTAATACAGATCCATCAAGCCAAGACAAAGTGTGGAGAGAATTTTGTTGCAGTGCAGGGTGGCAATACCATGTCAGACCCAGGAGAACCCCAGTCAGGAGGCACCCAACAGCACTGAATATCTCTTGGCAACGGCTTTGCCTTTGAACCACAGAGCGGTCAACCCTGATGCCTCCCGGTAAACTCAACCTGCAAAGGACAGAGTAAAATGGTCCGAAAAGGACCTAATAAAAGAGCCAGGACCAACATCCTCCAGGGGGCACAGGGGTTGGAGATGACAGTTGACCTGGGGAAGAAGCTCACTTTCCCACCCATCGTCCAGACCACCTTGAGGCCTGATGTTGTCATCTGGTCAAGGCAAGCTAAGAAAATCATCCTGGTGGAACTGACTGTGCCTTGGGAGGAAGGCTGTGAGGAGGCCCATGAGAGGAAGAACATAAAATACCAGGACCTCATCATGGACTGCAAAGACAAAGGCTGGCAAGCATGGCTGTTTCCAGTGGAGGTCTGGTGTAGAGGATTCCCAGCAGTCAATGTGGTCTGTGCTCACTGCACTTGGCATATCTGGCAAGGAGAGGAAGACAGTTGTGCACAAGATTGTGCAGGCAGCAGAGAGCCTCAGGCTGGTTGTGGTTTAAGAGAGAGGAGGGGGGCTGGAGGCCTGGAGATGGTCATTGACCTGGCCACCACTGCTGACCCGCCAGCTGGTGGGTGTAGCGGTTAAGGGTCGAAACGACCCGTGAAGGTTGGGCACCGTCTGATGACATCAGCTCCAGGCCAAAAGCCACCCACAGTCACATTAGAGAGTGGCTGTACGTATAGCATCACGTGATGTATTGAACAAATTTTTATTATAATAAAAAGTTGAGGTCAAAAATTAAGAAGCACGTGGGCTACTAAAAAAAGAGGTCTTGGTTTACCAGTAATTGGTGTAAAAACCTTAACTTAAACCATTAAAAGATTAACTCATCTAAATCCTTTATTGTCTTTTAGATCCAGATCTTTAGGACTAGTTATTTTCTTAGCATCACTGTCAACAGTATATCATTAAATGTAAACAGGTATTTAATTATAAGCCAGACAACAACCATAACAGAAGAAAACAGTCATTCACCTCCAACTTTATTTTCATTTTTATTATTATCCTTCTCCATAGAAACACAAATATCTTTTCAAAAGCATAAAACAAACAAGGAACTGTTAAATAAAAGCTGCAGAGTAAAGCCTGGATAAATTCATCAGAGAAAACTTAACTCAATGAGAAACTAACTTTCTTCATGATTAGGAAGGTAATGAATCATTACTCTGATAGTCTTTATACCCATCAATAGTCTAATGGTCTTTTGGTTGACTTTGGGAACATCAAGTTATAGAACTGTAGAGGAATAGTTAAACAGAAAATGGTAGAAATGTTTTTGTATTTATAATCTTAAATTATTTGTGCGGATTGATAAAATATATCACTATCCATCCCAGGGTGACGGCTTTTAGAGCATCAATCTAACAGTCAAGACATCAGGCGGCGATGCGATGCGTAAAGAAAAATCCAATTTCTTTGTCGGATCCTTTAAAAGGAAATTGGACTCCCAGCAGGCACTTTTTTGTCTTGAGAAGCTGAGTGCCTAAGCTCGACACTTTCATGCCGTTTCTTTTGTTTCTATGTGAACAGAGGTAAATGAAAGTCTGCATTGTCAAAGAGGAGCGGCCTGGTGACAGGAGTGGGATCCTTGTCTGCCTTGTGTAGGAGTTTAAACAGTCCTGTTCCAATGTTCATTGGGATTCCCATAATGATGCATTCAGACACACCTGCAGCAATAAAACACAAAGCTTTAACACCAGGGTATTACGAAACAAAAGGCTAAATTAGACTTTATAATACAACGTTTACCGCAGACTGAGTCCTTTTGTCCGAAGTAGGCCGCATCAAAGAGGTGATCGGCTGTTTTCTCAAACGAAGCCAACATGAGGACACTCTCCTTCATTTTGGCCAATCCAAACCTAGTGATTCCCAGGATCTCACCCTTTGCAGAGAGGACTGGATGTTAAATGAAGCATATAAAAGGACACATCTGCTGCTGCAAGATACGTAC